CCTTCCTTCCTTCCTTCCTTCCTTCCTTCCTTCCTTCCTTCCTTTCTTTCTTTCTTTCTTTCTTTCTTTCTTTCTTTCTTTCTTTCTTTCTTTCTTTCTTTTGTTCTTTCTTTCTTTTTCAAGACAGAGTTTCTCTGTCCTGAAGCTCATTCTGAAGACCAGACTGGCCTCTAACTCACAGAGATCCTCCTGCTGGGTTCAAAGGAGTGCTCCACCACCACCTGTTGACTGATTGACTTTTATCTTTACTGACACTGGAAGCTTCTTGATGCTCCAGAGGCCTCAATGTGCTCTCCTGTTCTCACAAGGCCATTGGGGGAAAAAAAACTTACATGTGGGGCAAATTCCTTAGCATCATGCCTAGTACCTAGTAGGTGTTCAATAAACATAAATCCTCCTTTCCCCTCCTCCAAGGCTCCTTCTCTTCGAGCAGGGACATTTGTCACGTGTGTGTTTCTGGCTAGAAACTAGCACAAGCCAGGCCAGAGATGGTTCTGCATAGTGACTGTGTGTAAGTGTCTGATATGAGCACATGTGTGAGACATTGGATGTCCTTGTGACTCTCCACTTGGTTATTTTGCAATATTTTTATATCAGAGAGAAAGAGAGAGAGAGAGAGAGAGAGAGACCTTTTGCCCATTGAGTACGTGCTCCCTCCAGTACTCCTTTTCCCTTGCTTAGAATGAGACAGTGTGTCTCACAAGCCCGGAGCTCACAGATTTGGTCAGGATTAGTGGCTCTGCCAGCTCCAGGGATTCCCCCTGGTTTCCTAGTGATTTTCTACCCACCCTCAGCTTTTATGTAGGTGGTGGGGATTTGAACTCGGGTCTCACACATCCGTGGCCAGAGAGTTTACCACTGAGTCACCTCCTTAGCTCCAGAAACGTTCACTGCAGTCCCTCCACAGTGAAAGAGGCAGGAATTGGAAACAAACAAACAAACAAACAAACAACTACAACAACAACAAGCCTCTACAGGTGAAAACACGGAGACCTTCTGCATAAAATGGCCTGCCCACAATCACAGAGGAAAGTGTCTGTAGAGACAGAACCTGAGCCCAAATTCCTTGTTTAGGTGGTTTCTTCTTAAAAGCACAATTTCTCTGGCCCATGACAGATGTACTCCCAGGTCCCACACCTCTCCGAGGCCATGCCTGGAGCGGGGAGATTTTGAAAGAGAATTCTGAGGAGGAAAAACCCTGGGCCAAACTCCGGCCTTCTGCATTGTTGGTGTTCATTTCCTGTCACCATCTTCAGGCAGGTGTGTTCCTCGCTCAGAGTCTGGTGTGGGCCAGTCCCAGCAATGAGTCCCTGCTCGGCTACTAGGCCACTGAGTAGCTTCCGGGAGAATTAATGAATGACAGACTCGGGAGTAGCATCTGACCTTTTGTTTTCCAGACTTAGCAACATACTGGCCAGCCAGGAGCAGGACACCTTCAGCCAGACCAATGGCCCTTACTACCCCTCACCCGTTCAAGAGCCTGGGGTACCAGAGAGCCTTTGGCTGTCATAGATGGGGAAAGAATGGTCCAGGCTGCTAAGGGGGCTAGCTCCCAGAGACGCAGACTACCTGGCCACAGAAGCTCTGATGATTTTTGTGGTGGCCAGGCCAGGGTTCTAGGGAAGACATGGGAATCTCATGTTGGAGCGCCCCTCCTGTTCAGAAGTCACAAAAGAATCTACAGAGAGGCAAAAACCGGAAGCGTGGTCATCAGGAAGAGTTGTGGACCTGGCAACGGATAGCCCAGAGGCTTAGTTGCTCTGATGGAGACAGAAATGCCAGGCTCTGGCCTGGTGAGGCTGGCCCATCCTAGAGCCCCGGCCTGCACTTTGATGGCTTCCAAGCCTTCCACTCTTTAATAACACGGGGTGATAATGGCTTTCTACAGTCAGGTATGGCTTCCCTCACCTGTCTACAACACAGCCAAGAGTGACTGGGTCGGACCACCCTGGTGTGGAAGGTGATCTCTGTGTGCTTCCCTTACTAGGCCCGACAGCATGCATTCCCCCTGTCTCTCTTCCCCGGGGCCTCACCTCTTCCTGGACGGAGCTGTACTTTGCTACTACCTTTCCTTACTGGGAAGTCAGCAATCCCCAAACAATCCCCAGACACTCCTGATATGGTACACACACCCCACACATGCCATTCATGCACATCCACACACCACAAATATCACACACACACACACATCACGCACACTCACACCACACAATATACATGCCCCCATCTACCGCTCACATACCGCTCACGTGTGCACAGAGAGCCCAATCTCTCTCTCTCTGTCACACACACACACACACACACACACACACACACACAGTCCTACCCAGAAGTCCACGTGTCTCTGCTGTTACCATTTTGTATTCTCCTGGGAATCCCCTCCCCTAGCTGCCCCCCTCCCCTAGCCCCTTATCTCTGCCTCTCCAGCAGTACTCAAGGGTTGTCTACCTTGTGTCCCAGGGAAATAAGTGCTTGCCTAATCCTCTTAAGAACAAGCTACAAGCCACTTTGTCAAAGGAGAGCTCCTGCTTTTTTTTTTTTTTTTTAAAAGACAGAGTCACAAGTGCCTGGCTGGACTAGCACTTGCTATGTAGACCAAAATGGGCCCTGAATTTATGGAGATCTGCCTGTGTCTGCCTTCCAAGTGCTGGGATTAAAAGCGTGCACCATCACCCATAACTAACAAGTTTCTTGGTTTTTAAAAACCGCCCTCGGAGTTGGAAAGCTGGTTGGTATTCTCAGTTTTATTAACAGAGAGGTTGAGTCACTAGCCCATGGCCACACAGCTGGAAGTTGATTTCTGGCCTGAGTTCAGGCCCTCGAGGTAGATCTTACTCTCTGCCACAGCTGCCTCCTGCTCGAAAGTCCTCGAGGGCAGGGATGAGGAATACCTTTAGCCAAGATTTCATTGCCAGGCCAGGTGGGACAGGTCTACGTGTGTGAAATCTCTTTGAGCTGTTTCTTGAATGTGGGAATGGCCAGGCCCTGCCTGACAAAAATCACATTCAGTTCTTGATGTTGGCTTCTGAGAGTTCAGAACTGCTGAAACTTTACCCAGTGGTTTCCAACCTTCCCCAGTGGTGAGACCCTTTAATAAAGTTCCTTATGTTGTGGTGACTCTCAACCATGAAATTATTTTCGTTGCTACTTCATAACTGTAATTTTGCTACTGTTATGAACAGTAATGTAAATATTTTTGGAGATAGGGGTTTGCCAACATCCTGGAGCCAGCCTTCCCCTGGCAGCCATGGATGAAACCCGTCATCATGGTATCTTTTAAGGTTATCTCCAGCTTCTTCCCACTGTCCCTGGCTTGCCAGTGCAACTCCAGGTGGTGTGCGTTGCTTTTGGCAAGCCATTTGTGCACTGGTTCTTCATGGAATTATCAGAGGGCCTGAGGCAGAGAGGAGTGGAGGGAAGAGGGGACAGAGCAGGAGAAGCTTCCTGAACAGATAGATGAGTGCTTGACAAGGTTCTGGCCTAGCTGGGTCTAGGTTCCGGTCCTGGGAGGGACCTATGGGAGGGGAAGAGTCCCTGGCAGGAGCCCAGAGTCACCCTTGCTTCTTCTAGGAGAGGTTCCTAGCCTATGAAGGATGGTCTCAGACAGGAGTGTCATGCGATAGCCACTTTATAGACAGGCAAGTGGCTTCCACAGAAGGACACATGGCAACAAAGAACATCTCAGCACACCCTGACTTTTATCACCCCCAAACTCTTGGCTTCTCTGCCATGAAAAGGAGGTTTGAGCTCTGGGATCAGGGTCAAAAGTTCACGGTTCTAACTTAGCCCTGGTGTTAGTTAGCCCTGCTGTGTCATCCTGAGGAAGTTGTGAGACTCTCTGGACCTTGTTACATTTGTTTTCTCTCTACAATAGCTGCCAGTTCTCTATTTCTGTAGTATACCCCCCTTTCCCACACACGCCCCAGCAAGACCATGCACCCGCTGGACTTTAAACCATCCCTGTTGCTTTTAGCCTCTAGGCTGATCTCCAGGCACCTGGAGCCTGTGGATTTTACAGGACTTCCCACATCGAGCAGGTCACCAGAGAGAACACAGGCCTTGTCACAAAAATCCAAGCTTTCTCAAATTTTTGTTGTAAGAAATGGTGATCCCGGAAGGGTACGTGTTGCCAAATCTTATAACCAGAGTTCAGTCCCCAGGACCCCACATAGTGGAAGGAGAGAACTGATTCCCACAAACTGTCCTCTGACCTCCTCACACATAATGTGACATGTGCCGCTCCAGCTTCCAAAATAAATAAACACTTTATTACTACTGTTCTTCTTATTATTTTTTTAATGGACATGGTACAGTGCCAATCAACTTTGCCAGACTGAGAAGAACCTGAGGTGCAGCTCAGGGTAGAGACTCATTCAGTTTGTTGATGGAGATGTAGTCTGACCTCAGGTTTGCTGACTGGGGACTGGATGTGCCGTTTGTTTCCCTCATCGGAACTGGGAAACATGTGCAAGGCCCTGAATTCAACCCGGGGCCCAAACAAACAAACAAACAAACTAACAAACAAAAACAAAGCAAACCTTTCGGCCTACCAGAAGGCCATGCAGTGGGTAAGCTTCTGTATGTGGCTAGGAGAAGAGCTAGCCCTGGGGGTTCTCTGAGGGAGCTAGGAAACACCCATAGCTGGTGACTGTGTCATAGGAGGCTGAGGAACAGGAGGAAAGGCAGTTGCACACAGCTGGAAAGTCTGTGAGAGCTTGCCTGGATGGGCTGGGGTAGGTGGGAGGTGCCCGGTTAGGCCAACCCTATACCTCCTCTATAAAAAGACTTCAGGGCTCTGTCCTATCTCAGTGCTGGGCCTGAGAGGCAGAACCTGACGGGGCCTATTAGATATGTTACAGGCCCAGTGCGGGAAGCTGTTTTGATTAAATTTGGGAGCATAATTGTAGGGTTTGTGCTGTGGCCTCATTATGGCTTTTTTAATCTTGTTAACCTCTCCTCCCCATCCCCCCCCCCTTTTCCCTCCACAGCCACAGGCTGCGGCCTCAGAACAATACCAGGAATATTTTCCATCTCCCCATGATGGTTTCCTCCTCCTCCACCTCCCCAAGACTGGCTCCCAGAGGCAGGATAGGGCAAAAGAAACAAGAAGAAGGCAAGACCACAGTGGGGATTTAAAGTATGGCTTTCTTCCCCAGAGCGCTTTTTGGTTCAGCATGCCACAACTGGTTGGGAGTTCAGAGAGGGGGTATGCTGGGGGTGTGTGTGTGTGCTGGGGGGGCACAATGGGGGGTGGTAACGCCAATCAGGTAATATCAATCAGACTGGTTGTAGCTTCAGGAGTTCCCCAGTTCAGGCTCAGAGTTCTCTTTTTCTGAGGGAGAAATGGGAAAGCCGGGTTGGCGACAACACTGTGGACTGAGGCCATAGAGATAAAGAGGGCAGCCTTTGAGCCGGGGAGGAGGCAGGGGTGGGGATGGGGGCGGGAGGAGGAAGCTAAGAACAACCTGGAGCTTGTCCCGATCAAAGATGCAGAGCAGCTACCTCTACACACAGATGGCATCAGTCAGGAGAGACTGGCTCTGGGGCTGTGAGGAGCGAGTCCCGAGCTCCAAGGCTTCAGAGACGACTTCTTGTTTACCCAAAGCATGCAGCAGGGAGGGTGCTGATGGAGAGGAGTGGGTGTATTAGGAGGGTCCACAGAGAGTGAGAGCGTGCTGGCAAGTGAGGTCAGTGTTTGGGGTGCCTTGGGGTGGTGAGAAGCTCCTGGCCTCAGTCCCTCATGGCCCCAGTCGTGTGGTTAGTTATTAAGCTGGGAGGATTGCCACCACCCAGCGAAGGGGTTGGGAGAGGGTGTTGGGGGCAAGCCAGAGCCTTGCGTACTTGTACAGAAGCCAGAGGTTCTCTGAGACAAAGGCAGTAGGAAGTATGCAAATTAGGATAAGGTAGGCACACTCTGCAAGCCCAGCCTAGGGCTCTCCGGTTCTCCAGCCGCTCTGTGGCCATTCACCCATCATGACTATGTCAGCAACCGTGATCTTTCTCCTGATCCCCCAAACTGGACCTCTCTAGGGTAACAGAATGCCCAGTCATGCACAGCCCGAATCCAGAATGCCGAGCCAACCTCAACCTTTGTTCTCAATTGTCCTTCCAGTCCCCTGACTACCTTCCATACATGTGTTCTTTCATCCTGTCTTTGGACTGTCCCCAGTAATCCCTTCCGTGGATGTATCCCTCCTAGGTTGTTGCCCAGGTCCTCTGTCCTCTGTTGGCTGCAGGCAGGTGTGTCCCCAACTTACCTCTGAGTAGCTAGCTGTCCCTCTGTGACGGTTACTTTCTGTCAACTTGACACACACTAGAGTCACCTGGGGAAGAGGGACCCTCAGTTGAGAACTTGCCTCCATCAGATTGGCCTGTGGGCATATCAGTAGGGCATTTTCTTAATAGTTAATTGACGTAGGCGGGCTCAGCCCACTGTGGGCGGTACAATCCTTAGGCAAGTAGGTCTGGACTTTTTTTTTTTTTTTTAAAGAAAAGTGAGAATTATAAGCCAAATAAACAATGGAAAGTAAATTAACACTCCCATCCCAGGCTCCCACCATTGTAGCCAATAATGGTTTCTTTCTGGTACTCTAGTCCTTGAACCACCTTGTTTTGTGTCATGCTCTCAAGATGCTCTGAGCCTGGATTTCCTACCTTATTCCGTCTTCCAGAGCCAGCTCAGATGCCACGTGCTTTATAGCACCTAGGACTCACAACTAAAATACCTCTGCCAACCCTTCGGCATTCTGGTGAAGAGTGACCTTTTGCCAGCCAATGCAGCCCACATTAAACCCATGTTTCCTTGGCCCTGTTGGTTGCAAAGGTCCTGACCATCAGGCCCATTGAAGCCTGTCAGTACCCTGACCAGTGGCAGGGCTGCTTCTCAGATGAACTCCAGCGTCGCCCTGGGTGATGTGTGTGTGTGTGTGTGTGTGTGTGTGTGTGTGTGTGTGTGTAGGGGAGGATGTAAGTGAGAAATGGGGGTGTATTTAGGCTTCTGGAAGGGACTACTGGGCCCAAGGGATACAACTGGTGCTTGCTAAGTGATTTGAACGTCAGAGCCTCAGCCAAGCAGGGTGACCTGGTGACCTGTCTGTGAAGCAGAGGGGAACCAGATGTCCTGAAGCCAACAGAACTATATGAGCTACTTCCTGCCAGGGTCCCAGGGAAGTGGTAGGAGGGGACAGGTGTGAGTAGCAGTCCCCTCAAGGCAGGGTCTGGACCAAGTATGGGAAAGGTGTTTTCTCCCAGGGCTGACCTGGCAGCATGGGGCTGTGACTCAAGGGCCACCTTGGGAAATACTAGCTGGGTTTTTCCCAGCTTAAGGAGGGCCAGGAGTGATCCCTGGAGCCCATGGCTGAGAGCCAGCTAGGCCACAGTCCCTACCCTCTGCCGCAGTGCTGAATATCATTCACAGGGTCCACTCTGTCTGTTGAAGCCTTTGCCTCCCACTTGGCTTGTCTCCTGCCTCAGCCACCAAAGTGTCCTTTCTCAGTTCCCAGCCACAGAGACCGGGACTTTTTCCCAGGAAGGTGTGTTTCCCTCCCCCTCCCCTCCTCAGAATCATTCCTCTCTGTCAGTTTATGGATGCCGGTCCAATCACCTGGAGGCTAGGTCACTGGAGGCAGAGAGTGAGTTAGTTGCTCTATGGACCAAGAGCAGCCAGGTCTTCCGGTTTCCCTCAGCTTCAGTGTGTGGCATCTTAGGAGCTCAGTGAACTGGGTGTCAGAACATCTAAACCCTGGTCAGGCTTTGCTGAAGCTGAGGGGTGACCTGTCGTTATAAGGCTGAGGAGAGCCAGATGACCTGAGGCCAACAGAATGATACAAGCTACTTCCTGCAAGGGTCCCAGTCAGATGGTAGGAGGGGACAGGTATGGGGAAGGTGTTTTCTCCCAGGAGGTCCCTTTCCACTGAGTCCTAGCTATCTCTACGTACTCATCAGAAGAATCTCCATTCGAGTTTGGGGATAGGTATTCTCAACAGGCCCAGGTTATAAAGTTTCAAAGCCCCTTCCAAGAAAGAGAGCAACAGTCACCAGAGGTTAAGAACAGTACTCAGAGAGGTTCAGGGCTGGGCAGGTGGCCTCAGTTGGGAGAGCGCTTTCTACAAAAGTATAAGGACCTGGGTTCAATCCCCAGCACCCTCTAAAGGCAACTGTGGTGTTACACATCTTTAATCTCAGTGCCTGGAAGTTGGGGACAAGAAACGAGAAGATCCATAGGACAGCCTGGCACAATCTGCAAGTTCAAAGCCAGTGAGAGATCTCGATCCAAAAAGCAAGGTAGAGGGGTCCCTGAGAAATGACCTCTGGTTTCCCACAGAGGGCATGTATACATGTTCACAGGTACTCACACACATGCAAACATTGAACCACCCATACCCAGCAAAACCCCTCTTAGACTAATGCTGAACCCATCATTTTCTGAGGGACCCAGGCTGTAGGTCTTCCAGAGAGCTGATGAGTTGACCCCATGTTCCCCTTTAGATTGGCTTCACAAAGACTGTGGGCCAAGGCTGACCGCCAGCTCAAGCTGGCCGCCACCTCCTCCTAAACTAAAACTCAGCCGTCTGGGTTGAAAGACTACGCTGTGTCCCTGGGCATGCTCCACGTTTCCTCACCAGCTGGCAGGGAGGGCACGGGCAGTTGCACACACACAGATCTTGGCTTCCCATCGGGCAGCCTCCCTGAGGCGAGAGGCTGGCTTTCCTACCTTGGCCTAGGGCAGCCCTAGACACAATCCACAGTCGGGTTCCCTGAAATGATGCTGGTGACTGAAGTGCATGGTGGGTGGGGTCACCCTCTCCAGTCGGAATGGGTGTGCTTCTGGAACCTTCTGCTTAAATGGTTTCTGACAAAGCCTGAGAGGCAAGGGGGAGGGGCCGCCTGCCTCTCCTTAACTGCATTGTTCCTAATGGGCTGTGTTCTCAGCTGATGAGAGAGATGTTCAACAGAAACCTGACAGAGAAGGCTACAGACTCAGGGATGAGTGAGTAATTAGACTCTAATTAATTTCCATTTCACAAGAGAGTCAGGGATGTTAAGGGAGGGGAAAAAAAGCCCTGCAAAGATTAAAGGCCTCGTGTAGAAGGAAAATCTGGGACGAAGGGCCGGTGGAGCAGACTTAGCTGAGGGGGAATGTCAGCGGGAACAGGTGGCCATGTGGGCATTCAATGGAGCAGGTGTGGCTGTAGCCAGGGAGGTCAGAAAGGCCTGGGTTCCCTGCAGTGCTCAGGGCTGTTCCACCTATGACCCAGAGCTGCCTGCTGGGAGTGTGGCTAAGTGCTCCCCTCCCCCAGGCTGGCCTCAAACTTCTGAGTAGGTGAGAATGGTCCTGAACTCCTGATCCTCCTGCTCTCTCCTCTTCTGCAAAGACTGGATTATAGGCGTGTGCTACCATGCCTGGTTTATGTAGTACTGGGGATCGAACCCAGGGCTTTATATACAATAGGCAAGAGCTCTGCTATCTGAACCACATCCCCATCCCTGGCGGGAGAGACAGCAAATGACGCGAGTAACAAAGCCAAGTTTCTGTCTCTTACTCTTCTCTATAAAAGATGCAAAAGCAGTAGTTTTATAGTTAATTTTGTTGTTGTTGTTGCTGTTGTTTTGTTTTTCAAGACAGGGTTTCTCTGTATAGCCCTGGCTGTCCTGGAACTCACTCTGTAGACCAGGCTGGCCTTGAACTCAGAAATCCGCTTGACTCTGCCTCCCAAGTGCTGGGATTAAAGGCATGCGCCGCGCCACCACTGCACGGCTGAAATTATTTAAATCTTATATTCTAATGACATTTTTTGGAGACAAGGTCTTTTTATGCAGTCTGGCAGTCCTGGAATTCACTATATCATCCAGAGTGGCTTCCAACTCAGAGATTGGCCTGCCTCTGCCTCCTAAGGGCTGGGATTGAAGGTATATGCCACCACATCTGGCTCCTCTTTTAATAGGGCTGTAACAAAGAAATCAGCGCTGCCTTTGGCCTCAGGTCAAGTGACTGCTTCTCAAAAAAAGAATGTAGGAGGCAAGTGAAATGGCTCAGGGGGTAGAAGTGTCACATGTCCCACATGATGCCCAGAAACATCTTTGAAGAGGCCACTCTCTTCATATGTGTAGCTGGTGGGCAACCTGCAACTGTTGTCTCTTTAAATTCCTGCCCTGACTGCTCTTGCCTCTCCAGAGCAGCCTTGCGCTTTATTTTGGAGCGAGACAGTGGTGTCGCCGTTAACTAGATGTTGTTGTAATAGACTATCTGAGACTGGAGAATTTCTAAAGGAAAACGTTTACTTGAGTCCTAATACTGGAAGCTGGAAGCTCAGGACTAGGCAGCTACACGCTGAGTCGTGACACCGGAAGAGGTGCGGTGGTAGTGAGCAGACACCTGTAGAAGGGACGGAACTCACGAAGCACACTTGCTCACAACAGCTGGCTTTCCGGAAAATGAGTCCAGTCCAGGGAGAAAGACATTCATCTCGTTTTGACCACTCAGCTCTGTCTTGAGGGCCCACCTTCTAATATCTCCACAGCAACAACCACCTTTCAGCATTTTGTGCAGAACAGCATGAGTTTGATCCCCAGAACCCCAGGTCCCTAGAAAGCACAGGGTACAGAGGCACACACTTGAAAGCCCAGTGTTGGGGAGGCAGAGCTAGGCAGACCATGGAGCCCACTGGCTTGGCATCTTGGCTTTTTGTTTGTTTGTTTGTTTTTTGTTTTGTTTTGTTTTTTGAGACAGGGTTTCTCTGTGTAGTCCTGGCTGTCCTGGAACTCACTCTGTAGATCAGGCTGGTCCCAAACTCAGAAATCCGCCTGCCTCTGCCTCCCAAGTGCTGGGATTAAAGGCGTGCACCACCACCACCCGGCGGCATCTTGGCTTATAAAGAATGGCACTCAAGCTTAACCTCTGGCCTTAACACACACATACACACACACACACACACACACACACGCATACACACACACACACACACACACAGAGTCAAGCCACAAGCTACATTCAGACCATTAGAAAATATAAACTCCCAGCCACCAGCCACCTCAATGAAGAACTCCTGTCTGCATGGCCTGATGATTCCTGCAATTCCCTGGCCTGATCCAATTTCTTCTTCTTACACTAGAATAGTTCTTTCACGGTTGTCTACTTACCAAGTCTTTCCCATAGAACCTAGCACGGGACCCAGGTGACTGGAGACCATGCAGCCTGGGGGCAGTGATGACCACCCGGGGGCAGCTGTAGGTTACTGTGGGAACTGGGAGCTTTCTCATCTTGATCTCTCTGGGTCTCAGCATGACCAGGAAGAAACGCAGTAGTACAGGGGCCTGAAGTCTTAGGTGTGGCCTTGGCCAAAGCTCT